TATATTTAGGTCTTTGATCCATTTTGAGTTAGTTTTTGTGCATGGTGTGAGGTATGGGTCTTGTTTCAGTTTTTTGCAGATGGATATCCAGTTATGCCAATGCCATTTGTTAAAGAGACTGTCTTTTCCCTAATTAATGGACTTTGGGCCTTTGTCAAATATCAGCTGTTCATAGGTGGATGAATTTATGTCTGGATTCTCAGTTCTGTTCCATTGGTCTAAGTATCTGTTGTTAAACCAGTAGTACCAGGCTGTTTTGACTATCATGACGTTATAATAGGTTCTAAAATCAGGTGGTGTGAGGCCTCTCACTTTGTTGTTCTTCTTCAGTAATGCTTTACTTATCCAGGACCTCTTCCCTTTCCATATGAAGTTGGTGATTTGTTTTGCCATCTCATTAAAAAATGCCATTGGAATTTGGATCAGGATTGCATTGTATCTGTAGATTGCCTGGGATAGAATAGACGTTTTCACAATGTTAAGTCTTCCTATCCATGAGCAAGGTAGGTTTTCCCACTTATGTAGGTCTCTTTTGGTTTCTTTCAGTAATGTCTTGTAGTTTTCTTTGTATAGGTCTTTTACGTCTCTGATTAGATTTATTCGTAAGTATTTTATCTTCTTTTGTCTATTGTAAATCATATTGATTTGGTGATTTCCTCTTCGAATTTCTCTTTGTTGGTGTAGAGGAATCCAACTGATTTTTTGTATGTTTATCTTGTATCGTGATACTTTGCTGAAATCTTCTATTGGTTCCAGTAGTTTTCTTGTGGATTCTTTGGGATTTTCTGTGTATAAGATTATATCATCTGCAAATAGAGATACTTTTACTTCTTCCTTCCCAATTTGGATGCCCTTTATTTCTTTTTCTAGCCTAATTGCTCTGGCTAGGACCTCCAGCACAATGTTGAATAAGAGTGGTGATAAAGGGCATCCATTTAGGATGATGTTGGCTCTTGGCTTTGAGTAAATGCCTTTTATTATGTTGAGGAGTATCCCTTCTATTCCTATTTTGCTGAGAGTTTTTATCGTGAATGGGTGTTGGACTTGTCAGATGCCTTTTCTGTACCGACTGATAAGAACATGTGGTTCTTGTCTTTTGTTTTATTTATGTGATGGATTACATTGACTGTTTTTCTAATGTTGAACCATCCCTGCATACCTGGTATGAATCCCACTTGGTCATAGTGAATTATTTTTTTGATATGTTGTTGAATTCTTTTGGCTAGAATTTTGTTGAGGATTTTTACGTCTATGTTCACGAGGGATATTGGTCTATAATTTTCTTTTTTGTGGTGTCTTTACCTGGTTTTGGTATCAGGGTTGTGCTGGCTTCACAGAATGAGTTTGGGAGTATTCCATCGTTTCTTATGCTCTGAAATACCTTTAGTAGTAGTGGTGTTAACTCTTCTCTGAAAGTTTGGTAGAATTCTCCAGTGAAACCATCAGGGCCAGGGCTTTTTTGTTGTTGTTGTTGTGAGTTTTTTAATTAGCTTTTCAATCTCTTCTTTTGTTATAGGTTTATTTAGTTGTTCTACCTCTAATTGTGTTAGTTTAGGTAGGTAGTGAGTTTCTAGGAATTTGTCCATTTCCTCTAGGTTTTCAAATTTGTTTGAGTACAATTTATCAGAGTATTCTGTTCTGATTCTTTAATTTCAGTTGGGTCTGTTGTGATATCGCCCATTTCATTTTTTATTCTGGTTATTTGCTTCCTCTCCTGTTTTTCTTTTGTCAGTTTGACCAGTGGTTTATTGATGTTGTTGATCTTTTCAAAGAACCAGCTTTTGGTCTTGTTAACTCTTTCAGTAGTTTTTCTATTCTGTTTCATTAAATTCTGCTATAATTTTTATTATTTGCTTTCTTCTGGTGCCCAAGGGCTTCTTTTGCTGATCTCTATCTATTTATGCAAGTTGTAGGGTTAATGTTTTGAGTTTGGCCATTTCTTCTTTTTGGATGTGTGCACTTATTGCTATAAATTGACCTCTGAGCACTGCTTTTGCCGTGTCCGAAAGGTTCTGGTAGGATGTGTTTTCATTCTCATTTGATTCTGTGAATTTCTTTATTCTGTCCTTAATTTTTTCTATAACCCAGTAGTATTTGAGCAAGGTGTTGTTCAGTTTCCATGTGTTTGTTTTTTTTTCCTTGCTTTTTCTGTTATTGATTTCCACTTTTATGACTTTATGGTCAGAAAAGATGCTTTGTAATATTTCAATGCTTTCGATTCTGTTAAGGCTTGCTTTATGGCCTAATATGTAGTCTATTCTGGAGAATGTTCCATATGCATTGGAAAACAAAGTATACTTGTCTACTGTTAGGTAGAGTGTTCTTTATATGTCTATGAGGTCAAGTTGGTTGATTGTGGCATTTAAATCTTCCGTGTCTTTATTGAGCTTCTTTCTAAATGTTCTGTCCTTCACTGAAAGTGGTGTGTTGAAGTCTCTTACTATTATTGTGGAGCTGTCTCTCTCTCTTTTCAGTGCTGTTGGAGTTTGTTTTATATATTTTGGCCTGTCATTCAGTGCGTACGTATTTCTTATGGTTATGTCCTCCTGGGGTATTGACCCTTTAATCATTATATAGTGTCCTTCCTTATCCTTTGTAGTGGATTTTACTTTAAAGTCTATTTTGTCAGAGATTAACAATTGCCACTTCTGCTCTTTTTTGATTGTTGTTTGCTTGATATATTTTTTTTCCATCCTTTGAGTTTTAGTTTGTGTCTTTAAGTCTAAGATGTGCCTCTTGTAGACAGCATATAAATGGATCGTGTTTTTTTATCCATTTTGCCACTCTCTGTCTCTTTATTGGTATGTTTAGTCCATTTTTGTTCAGCATAATTATTGATTTAAAAAAAAAAATCTAAACCC